TGCAACACAAATTACATTAATCAATTCACTTATTAAATGTATTTAGGACAGAGCAACTCAAAATGAATTGTTTTCATCGGGGAACCGATCTCGAAATTGTACTTAGCCTACTTAAATATGCTTAATTACTTCCCACCTCTGGTACTGGCAACGGTAAATAAACATTCTCCAATTATATTTATTTATTATTATTTATCACTTATTATGTCGTGGCAACTGCTTGTTTTGTTGTTGTTTTTCTTTGAGCTTTTATTTTGAAGGTCATAAACTCACAGCACCAACCAGCTGATCTTCTAACGGCTGAGCTCTGCATTCAGTGTCGGTTTGGTTAGGACGTCGCCCCTTACATTTAAAGGTAAGAGCACTGTCTTTCAGTAAAATAATATTCACAAAGTGTACTGTCATGTGATGACAGTACACTTCACGTGATGCTGTGATTGAAAGCTGATGTCTGCACAGTGTGGTTTATGATGTAAACATGGACCAAGTAGCTGTCGGCTGCCTCGCTGTGTTTTGGCTTATTTTGGTTTGCCAAGATGTAAAAGCGAAACCGAATGAACCCCTCTTTTGTCCTCTATTTGTCCTCTCAATCATTTTTATGAATGTTACATTAACCTTAACAGATGTGTTGATTTAACGTTATAATCGTTTAGGAGGCTGTAGTGCATGGTGCTGTTGTAGTGAATGACGTAGCTGAGTGTGGGCTACACAACCACAACGACAGTCAGTGTCATTAGCTGTGTTTATGTATGCACCACAAACACCAAGGATACCAATTCCTGTTATGTGTAAACCTACCTGGCAATGAACCAGTTTCTGATTCTGATACATTCAAAAACAACTCAAACTACAGCCTCCAATTTCCAAAATGATGAACAACTGAAAAAGAAGATGCCTCTTTAAAAAGCTTCCTATTTTTTAAAATTCTAACCTTCACAAAGATAGGATTTTACCATAAGACTTGTTTTTGACTGTAGTTTTAGCTTGGTCAGGTGTGAATATAAATGTATATTTAATTGAACACATTATCTATTGATATATTATATTATGCAGCATTAAATTAATCTAAATGTTAAATGTGAGTGCATTATTAATATTACATTTACTCAAGTATTGTACTTAAGTACGATTTTGGGATACTTTATGTAAGTATTTCTATGTTATGCTACTTTTAACTTCTACTCCACTACAATTTGGAAACCAGTATTGTACTTTTTACCCTGCTAGATTGGCAACATGTGTTACTAGTTATTTAACAGATTAGGATTATTCGCAAATACAAAATATAAATAAACTAAGAAATAAACTATCCTATAGAGTTATAGGTAAAATATCCAGCAGTTTTATATCGAGTGATCAAAAGTAGCTCCACTCTTACAATGTTGTGAAGAACACATTATTGCAAAAATAATAATAATCCAGTAATTTCATATATATTATTCTTAAATGGGACATTACGCACACTAAGCACTTTTACTTTTGGAAATGTAAGAACTTTTTGATGGCAATACTTTTGTAATTTGACCAAAATAAGATTATGAATGAAGGACCTGTAACAGAGTATTTTTACAGTTTTACATAAGTAAAACATCTGAGTACTTCTTCCACCACTGGCTCTATGCATAGAACAATTTCCCTTTTGAGCTAACAAACAACATTTGTAACAAACAATCAGAAAACAGAGGTACATTTTCTCTAAGGGGAGAATGAAGCAGTAAATTGTTTTACTTTTCTATATCTAATGTTGTATGCTACTATTTGGACTATAGAATAGTTTGTCCTACAGGTGCTGCAAGTCACCAAAGAACACAAAGGAGTGGAAACCAGGTGAAATAAACGCTGACATGGCGCCGACACTGGTAAGGAAATAATCACTTAATAAAAAAAAATTAAATCAAACCATAGTCGTTTTTTTAAAATGTGTTTTGTGTTCTTTTATGCAAGGATGTGTCATCATTATCGTGTTATAGTATACTTATCTTATCTTAGTTTAACACAGAGGGTCCTGTCATTTCACAATGAACCGCAGTTGTTTCCAAACAAAGTCTGTTGCAAAGTCAAACATTTTTTCTGTCTGTCTTAATCCAAGTATGATGTAAAACCAGAGATCGGGGATTTGATTGAGATCTACAGGGGAACCTATCAGCACTGGGCTGTGTATGTGGGCGATGGCTTCATTGTCCACTTGGCACCACCCTGTGAGTCACACACACACACACACACACACACACACACACACACACACACACACACACACACACACACACACACACACACACACACACACACACACACACACACACACACACACACACACACACTGCATATCACCAGATCAACACAAACCGATGCACATACTGTATGCCTAGAAATGAAACAATTTGTCACTGTAAACTGGATATTTGTATGTGGTTAAGAGAAAAGTATATTTTAATCAACTTTTAAAATAGTCCTAAAACGAATTCACCAAACACCAATGAGAGAATTTCCAATTAAATGTCTCTGAATGAATCTAATGTGGGAGGATTGAATTGGTTAAGCTGAAGAGGAGCAACACACACACACACACACACACACACACACACACACACACACACACACACACACACACACACACACACACACACACACACACACACACACACTCAATCGTGCAGAATTATAGGCCAATTCCAAACCTACCTGTCCTGGCTTCCTTCCTTGTTTATCTGTCACGCCACTCGACGCCTTGAACAGACATGTTTTCTTCCTTTATCTTTACATTCCTCACAGCTGAAGAGTTGCTCGGCCTCCGATGGTTTGGATGATGTTGCGAGGTGTTTGCTCAAAATAAAATAGCTTTTACCCATGCAACAAAGAAAAGAGGCCTTTACAATAGTCAAAACAAAGAGGCAAAGCTCAAATCAAATAACAAACAACATTCTTTCTTCTTGATAAGGCTA